TTTTGGAAGAAGTGCAGCCAGAGTGCTCCTTGGAGGCCAAGATGGCCAAACTTCGTCTCTCATACTTCAGACATATTGTCAGGAAGGACCCATTGCTGGAGAAGGATAAGGTAGAGGATCAGAGAAAAAGAGGAAGATCCCCTACGAGATGGACTGGCCAGATGGCAGCACTGATGGACTCAAGTGATGCAACAGTAGTGAGGTTGGCCCAGGATCAGACAGTGTTTCGGTCTGCTGTGCATAGGGTCGCTATGAGTCTGTGCCAACAACAACAATGTACACAGACCAAGAGGTAGTTGTTCAAACACAACAAGGGGATAGTGAACGATTTAAAATCCGGTAAGGTATTCATCAGGATATTCATCCAAGAAGCTGGATTATATGAAGAACATAACATCAGGATTGGAGGAAGAATCATTAACAATACACGATTTGAAACTGACAACACAACCTTGCTTGCTGGAAATTGGGAGGACTTGAAAAACTTATTAACTCTGTTTTTGAAATGATCTCTAAATTCAGATGCGTTATATTCAAGGTCATATTTTGGCTCTCATGGAATTGTTTTAAATTTTCTTTAGCTTCAGTCTAAACTTGCATAAGAGCAATAGATAGTCTGTTCCACAGTCTGCACCTGGCCTTGCTTTAACTGATGATATGGAGCTTTTCCACTGCTAAATCACTAAGTATCCCAGCCAAACTAATCTGACACAAAACCTTAACCATCATACTACTGTAGTAAACCAAAATCAAACACACATCAAGTCAATCTTAACTAATAGCAACCCTATATAGGGTTTCTAAGAATGTAAATCTTTAAGGGAGCAGAAAGCCCCATATTTCTCTTGAGGAATGGCTGGTCTGAAGTGCCAGCTTTTCAGTTAGCAGTCCAGTGCTTATCCTATAGCTCTACCATGGTTCCTATCCTAGTTACTATTGTTAGATACCACTGAGTGAGCTACAATTCATAGTGACTCTCCGCACAACAGAACGAAAACTTTGCCGGGTCCTGCACCATCTTCACAATGACTGTTACGCTTGAGCCCATTGCTGCTGCCACTGTGTCAATCCATCTTGCGGGTCTTCTTCATGTTGCTGACCCTTCACTTTCCCAAGCATAATGGGATTGACCTCTCCTGACACCATGTCCAAAGTATGTGAAACAGTTTCGCCATCCTCACTTCTATGGAACATTCTTATTGTACTTCTTCCAAGACAGATTTGTTTGTTCTTCTGGCAGTCCATGGTACTTTCAATATTCTTTGTCAACACCTTAATTCAAATTAATCGATTCTTCTACAGTCTGCCTCAGTCATTGACAAACTTTCACAATCATATGAGGCAACTGAAAATACCATGGCTTGGGTCAGGTGCACCTTACACTGACATCTCAGCTCTTCAACACTTTAAAGAGGTCTTTTGCAGCAGATATGCCTAATGCAACACATCATTTGGTTTTGTGACTGCTGCTTCCATGAGCTATTATCGTGCATTATGCTGCAGCGCCACACCAGGACTCCTGGCTATTAATAGATACTGGGAAAATATTGCTTGTTTAAGCCCAAGAGCTTTCTATGTGTTGTTGTTGTGTCAGTTCTGGCTCACATGACAATCCTACACATGACAGAATGAAACGCTGCCTGGTCCTGTGCCATTCTCACAATTCTAACGTGCTTGAGCCCATTGCTGCTGCCACTGTGCCAATCCATTTCCTTAGGGTCTTCCTCTTTTTCACTGTCCCTCCACTTTATCAAGCAAGATGTCCTTTTCCTAGGACTGGTACACCTCCTAATAATATGTTCAAAGTATGAGATATAAACATAATTTTGATTATCTATCTTTGATCTAACCAATCTTCATTCTCTAAGAATAATCATTTTCTTAGGTTTTTAACTCCATTCATCAGAATTAAAATTGACTCTTATTTTGGAGATTTTTACCCCTACAAAAAAGTATTTTGTTTTGAAAAATCTCTTCCCTTATGACTAACTTAACATGTCCAGTTGAGAAAAACCACTCTAAAATATATATATTATGTAGTGGTGGTGGTGTGCCATGGAGTCGGTTCCGACTCATAGTGACCCCTTTGGTTTTCAAGGCTGTAAATCTGGTAGTTTCGAACTGATGACCTTGAAGTTAGCAGCACAACTTGTAACCACTATGCTACCATAGCTACTTATATATTAAGTAGTTGCTGTTAAGCACCATCAAGTTGGTTCCAACCCAGGTTTCCTAGGAGCAGCTGGTGAACTTGAACCACTGACCTTGGAATTCAAACTGACTTTGCAGTTCAGTGCATTAACTCATAGGCCACACCAGGAATCCATAATAAGGTAAGTAGTGGTTGTTGGTTATGTGCCATGGTGTTGGTTCTGACTCACAGTGATCCTGTACAGGGTTTCCGAGGCTATAAATATTTACAGGAGTAGAAAGCATCATCTTTCTCCTGCGGAGCAGCTGGTAATTTTGAACTGCTAACCCTGAGGTTCGCAGCCCAATTTGTGACCACTACGCTACCAGAGCTCCTATAATAAGTAGTAGACCAGGCTAATCTCTTAACTAACTCAATCTTCCAGAGTATATTAAAACTGTTGTTGTTGTTGTTGTTAGGTCTGTGGAGTCAGTTCTGACTCAGAGACCCTGAATATGGTTTTCCAAAACAGCCTACCTTACACTTCAAACTGACCTTTTGGTCCAGTGTTTATCCTATAGCTTCACACCATCCTTAACCTCTGGATCTTGTTCTCCCATGTAAATTATCACTGAATTCACAATAAAAAGTTAAAAAAAAAATTTTTTTTTGAGGAAAAAAATCAAAGATTTACACCCTTGCAGACCAAAGGACAATTTGCATAAATTTTTAATGTGTCACTTAAAAGTTATTTTGCATCGATCCTTCTGATTTTATGTTCAAGTCAAGTTCACTTGCTGAACATACATGTTTTCTGAGTATATACTATGTACCAAGTACTGTGTTAGGCTCTGAGTAAACTCTGTATTTGTCTAAATAAACAAAATGAACAAATGTAAACAAATAAACACAATGAAATAGAATTTATTCATTGTATTTATTTATCTAAAGGAGTCCTGGTGTGGCACTGTATGTAGCATAAGCACTAACTACAAGGTCGGTAGTTCAAACCTACCAGCCGCTTCTCAGAAACCTTATACAGGGTTGCTTTAAGTTAGAAATCACTCAACAGCACTTAACAACAACAAACAACAATTTGTCTAAAGAAAAAGTAAGACAGTGAACAAGTAATTTTAACTGTGATAAATGTTACAAAGAGAAATACAAGTGTTTAAGGATATGTGGGGAAAATACCTTTAGTAATTGCATAGTTAATTTTGCACCATCTTCTGTTCAAATTCTTTAATGCTACAGTAACCTAGGTTCTCCACCTCTTACTCCAGATTCCTGTGAAGCACCTAATTTTCCACTACACTGTTTGACTCATTACAATGGGAAGCTGGGAAGGGGGAGGTGTATTATATATTCTGTGGGTTTAGTTTGTCACCCCAATCTTAGAATTACTTACATTAGCAGCATAGTATTTAGCTCACAGGATGTTTTAAATAAATGTTCGCAGACTGAATAAATGAGTCCTAAGAGGCAGACAAGCAAGTGGGGTGAATAAAAAGTTTCCAAAGCAGTTACAAACACAACAAAGGCTATACAGTCAATAGACATTTCAGTCTTAGTTCCTGGGTGATATGTTCTTTATGATATGATAGATAATGTTCTTTAACAATTGTGTAGATTTCAAAATCAAAAGAAAGAATACAAATTTAATCATGCATCCTCTTTTATGGCTACAAAAGCATTTAAATGCTGAAAACTATCATCAAAATTCTTACCTTAACATCTGTAAATTGAGACACAGCAATATCAGGAATGTTGGGATGAAGAGCAGATAATTCACAATATAAATTGGGAAAGCAAACCAAGGATCCCAGAAGAACCTGTGCTTCCACTCTTGGTGCCTACACATCAGATTTGAAAAAATCTGTAAAATGTACTTAATTGTGTCATAAAATCATCAGAAAATATTACTTTATTCCCAATCATACTGGAAAATTAGAGAAAAAGACAAAATTCAAAAAGAGGAAATACAAAAAGATTTAGGTTTTCATTTATATTTTCAACATAAACAACTGTTACTATTAATACCTGCAATCAGTAATTAGTAGAGCTTCCCAAGAGCATCTAATAATAGAAATTCGCTGTTGTTTAATGAAACTATAAATAAGAATACAATTTATCTACCAGCATAAATGTATCCTAATTTTGAGAAATAGGAGAAAAAAAAAAAAAAGGATACTCATGCATCCTATTACATTGCTCTAACAGCTGATGACTTAATGTCACTAGATTATATCTGTTACTGTCTAAGGATAAATACAGGACTCCTGGTGTCACAGTGGGTTATGAGTTGGGTTTCAAACCACAAAGTTAGCAGTTCGAACCCGCGAGTCATTTACCAGGAGAAGGATGAGGTTGCCTGCTCTTATAAAGATTAAGTCTTAGAAATCCCCAGGGACAATTTTACTCTGTCCTATAGGGTTGCTAGTAGTTGGAACCAACTGAAGAATAACAAGCTTTGTTTTTTGGGTTGGAAAGATAAAGTACCTAAAGATGAAAATGCTAACTATATCTTCAAGAAACTGGCACCAATCTTGAGCACTTTTTATTGTGCTCCTAAGAAAAGCATTACCTATGCTACTTCCTAAAAACAAAATTAAAATTTATGCCTCAATTTCAGATGAGGCTAATTTTTCACTTAGCTATTTTAAGCCATTTGTGAAGCTGAAATCTTCTTCTGCCTTTATGCATGCCTAGCAAACACCAATATCCACCTACTAATACATTGTTTTATTTGTAAAAACACCTGAAAATTAACTTATATATTTAACAATACTTAACAAAAAGTGCTAAAAGCACATTTATTAGAATTATTGTACTTCTATTCATATAAAATGGACCCATCTTCAAAAGTATTTTCCCATACTAACTAATATTATAATAAAGGCAGTGGAGTAGTACTCTATTGTATGATTTTCACAGACAACTGATCTCCAGATTTAAAATATATTCTGGATTTATAAGGCAGTAGTATGAAAGGGAGGGGGATAAAAATTGCCTCCCAATTTAAAATAGAATTTTACTCAAAAAAAAAAAAAAAATGAAGCTGATAAAAATCAATGTTAAATGAAAGAGATTAGGTAAGAGGTTTTCTCTGGAGTTCTGGTGTGGCACTTTAGAATAAGCACTTGACTTCAAGGTCGGCATATCAAACTCACAAGCCGCTTCTTGGAAACCCTATACAGGGTTGCTATGAGTCGGAACCTACGGCACTTAACAACAACTATCTTTCAAGGACCTATTTATATATTTTTTTCATGAAACCTTCATGATGTACCTAAACAAAAATGATATCTTCTTTCTCTGAATTACCAAATTATTTTAAGATTTACATAAATTATGTTGCAAATACTATGTCTCATAAAATGTTACAAGTTTAATTTATTAATCTACACTTTATAGGTAATGAAACTGAGATCAAGAGACATTAAATAACTTACCCAGGATTATACAGATAGTAAGTGGCAAAGCTGGGAATTAAACCCAGGCAGACTGGCTCTAGAATCCATATTCTTCTGGATATGCATTTTATACTTGATAATATACTTTTCTATCTCCCAAGTCCACTTTATGCTCCATAAGGGCAAAGTATATTTCATTTATTCTACATCTTCCTGTATCCCACCCAAATGAGCACTTTGTACACAATGGGGATTAAAAACAAAACAAAACACCATACTAGATGCTGAATAAATATTAACACATTCAATAAACAAACAACCACCTACTAAGTGTGGTGCTGTGCTGTTATAGAGATAACAAGATGAGAAAGACATGATCATCATTCTCAAGAAACTGGAGAAACAGGGTTTTATAAATATAGTATGTTTCCTCTATTTACATCATTTACTCTAGATTATATTAGTCAATGTCGTTCAGCTTTAATCCTGATATCTCTCTTGAGCTCCTGATTTATATATAAATTGCCCTCCTGACATTTCACGGATATCTAATATGCAGCTTACTATGCCACGGATAGAACTTCTCACTCGCTGTTAGTCTTTTACATCTTATAAATGAAATAATGCATGTTAAATTGCTTTGTAAGCTATAAAGTACTAGTAAAGTGCTACTTTCTTTTTGCACCTATCCTAAGATTTTTGGTTTATTATGAATTTTCATTTATGTTTTGCTCTAGAGCAGTCTTTTTAAATTAAAATTTTAATTTTGTCACTCCTTGCTTAATGATTACTCATTCCTTCTTCCTTAGGATGAAATCTAACTTCAGTACCATAAACATAGCTGTTACCTTCCTCTAGCTCACTTCTGCCATGTATATATGAACAAGCTCCAACAATGAGTCTCTCGCAGCTCCATGGCTTTAAGAAAAATCTTCCCGTATACTCTTACAGTTTAGCGTGTACTCCTCCTAGAAATATTCCTGAGTTACGTCACACTGTTTCTTCCTTCTCTTTTGTATAGGCATTGCCCTTTCTTTACTATCTTCCCTGTTTCCTTTTATTTCTTCAATTTTAAATCCTGTTTCATGTATTAGATGTAATTCATTTTATAGCCTTTGGGTCAATTCATCAAATAATTGTAATGCTTTCATACACTTCAGACTCATTTATTTTTTTCTTAAACACTGAAGAAACAATTCCAATTAAATTTTAGAACATCAGCTTGTTCTATCTTATCAGCAAATTACTTTTCCTTTATTGTTTGCTACTTAAATCCTGTTTGATTAAAGTTTGTTATATTGTGAAGAACAGAAAATAAAAACTTACATTTAGAAAAGCTGAAGAAGCCACTCTGCCAGCAGCTACGATAAAATCCATAATAAGCATTGTGGCACCAGGCAAACCAAGTGAAAAAAATTGAGGTGAGCAGTGCTTGATAATTGTATTGACAATATCCTTAGGAATCAGGAATGAAGGAGAAAAGAATATCACATATGTAATCTTGGGTATCAGCTATTCAACAGCCTTCACATAATAAACAAAAAATTTTAAACTGTAAATACTATACATTGACTAACTGGAATTACTAATTTTAATTCTCCCAAGTAGCCCATGCTTAGAATATTTTGTCAAAGGAAAGCAAACTTAAAACATATTTTTTAATTGACATCAATACAGCTTCTTTCTTTTCACAGTAGGGCAAACTGGAAGGCTATTTGCCTCAGACAGTTAAGAGTAAAAGACCCATGCATTGTAAAACTCAATTGCAGAGTAGTTTCTTCCACCTCATTGCTTCCATGTGATAACGTTGATCTTGAAGCCAAATGTGGCAACTGGAAAGATTCTCTCTTTAAAACAGAAATTAAAGCCCATTGATGACAACTGTCTAGCCTCAGAAATCTAGGTTGTAGGCATTTTTGAAGAAAAAATGTAAACTCGTTGTATATTCACTTTACCTCTAGAATTCACCATGAAGATGCAATATATATTATATTACTCAACATGAATGCTCTTAAATGAAACCTGCCATTTTCTAATAATTAAGACTGTGGTTTCATTTTCATTTGAAACAGATTTACAAGAGAGCATATAAATAATTTAAAATTTTGTTTAAGTGTTACTTTCATTTTTAGAGATATAGTTGTCATCTTTTAGTATTAATTGAATTCTATTTATATGAAATTTAATTATATTAAGATACAAGTATTTATATATATTGGCAGTTCTCACACTTCTTAGTTTTATGAACAACACCCTGAGGTAATGTTCAACAGTCATATTTATGACTATCTAATGATTTCCTTTAATACATATGTTGTTGTTATGTGCCATGGAGTCGGTTTTGACTCATAGAGACCCTGCACAGGGTTTCCGAGGCTGTTAATCTTTATGGGAGCAGAACGCCTCATCTTTCTCCCGCGGAGCAGCTGGTAGTTTTGAACTGCTGACCTTGCGGTTCACAGCCTGATTCATAACCACTACGCTACCAGAGTCCTTTTAGCAAATGAAAATGACTGCCAATGAGCCAGTATAACCAATGTTAATTAGAAATTGAAGTATGCTGATTCTTAAGACTGGAAAAACTAAACACACTCTGACTGCTGCATGACTAGATGAACAAACCCACATGCCTCTGAGTCAATTATCAGGTATAAAATAAACCTATAAAAACTGTTCTCCTTTTGCATGAAACTTGAGTTCAAGTCAGATTTCTTTAATTAGGTATTAAGAAAAATAAATTGGGACTTATCGGAAGATGCTTTATACTACGCAAAGGAGTCCTGGTGTGGCAATGAAGGATAAACACTAGAACACAAGGTCAGGTTGAACTGCAAGGTTGGCAGTTCAAACTTACCAGCCGGTTCTCAGAAACCCTATTTGCTGAGTTGGAACCAACTTGACAGCACTTAGCAAAGGATGGTTAAACCTCTTTAATAAAAATGAACTGCTAAGTATAACATTAAAGTTACAGATGGATTAAATATTCAAGGTAACCCCCTAACTACAACAGTTTGTTTTTCAATCATAGTTCAAAATCCAATGAGGTTATAAAATGGAAGTTACTTGCATATCACTATGTAAGGAAAACAGTTTTAATGTTGTTTGATTCCTACTCATAGTGAGTCTGTATAGAGTTCCAACTCATAGTGACCCTGTATAGGGTTTCCCAAGAGTGGTTGGTGAGCTTGAACTGCCAATCTGGAGATTCAAACCAACCTTGCAGTCCAGTGCATTAATCCACACTGCCACACCAGAACCCCTGTACACCACTACATAAAGGCAACAATTTTAATAATAGACCTTAAAAATCAATTAACAAAATTGAGAGATAAATTGGGATAATAAGATTTTAGAACTTACAAATAGTTACCTGATCAATATGAAGTAATCCACTATGCATTATATTGTAGAAATGTGTTAGAAAATCTCTGTTTGGTGACACATCTTGCCTTCTTTTCATTGTATTACAAATAAGTTTATAAGCATGTAATTTACCTTGTTTATATTTATCAGTCAACATAGTTGCCTACAATTAAAAGATCAATTTTAAATACTAAAGAAAATTACTTGTTAAATACTTAAGTTCAATATAGCAAACAATATTTTTGTTACTACAATGACCTAATTACTTTAAAGAGCTAAATATCAGAATTACTGAAATTTTTATTACCACCCAAAATGATACACTGTTGGTATAAATACTACACCCGTTTCATTTAGGAAAATGAATGAAATGAAACTTTTAAAAAATTAATCTTTAAAAGTACATAGAACATCCTGTGATAAAAACTTGATGTTTAAATTTCACTATAAACAATAAAGAAATATATTTTCTATGTCTCATTTCTGTTTTACTAAGAAAATTAAATACAAATGATGCATTCTGTATAATTTAGATATGCCATCCATCTCTTTATATAATGTCTAACAACATCCTAAGAGTACTAGTTATCAAATAAGTGTTGAAAGCTATACAACAGTTAAAATTTCTATCAAGTTTATAAAACTGACAATGTACTTATTTAATAAATGAAAATGTTATATCAATCTTTTATATACATTAAGCTTACCTTGAAAAGCCAAGGTGTAAGAATTCTCAGCGGAGGAATTAAAATTGGTGGAGAAGGGGAGGTCAGGTTATCAACTGAAATGCCAAGGTTATCTCTAATCTGTAATTTTCAAATAAAAAACAAGTCTATGAAAACTGTTCTGTCTCCCCATTTACTTTGCCTTAAACTTGAGTTAGAGTCCAGTTTTTATGACTAGATATTAATCATACATATTACTAACTTCTCATAATGGGTATCAGTTATCTATAACATGGGGTGCTTAACTAAACATTATCTAGGGTCTCATCATTTCTTAATATTTTTGTTCTACCCTTCTCCCCATGTGTCTTTTCCTTTCTTCTTTACCTTAGATAGATTTTGCCAAAGTTCACAAAGATAATCAAAAACTTGAGCATGTATTTCAGGATCCATAATAGCATTGACATCTCCCAAAATGCCAAGCATTCTTCGCCACATTACAGTAGCAACATCAGCATGCCATCCTGTAAGAGTACCCCCTGCCATCACACTACAACATTCAGATGGAAATTCGCTGATCTCTATAGAAAAAAAAAAAAAAGTAATAAAACAGCAGCATAAATACTTTTTCTAAAAAAAAGTATCATAAAAATACAACAGCCAACTTAAATAAACTATTTAAAAATATCTACAAAAGTGGAAAAATTTAGTGTTATCCCCCACCCCAGTAGTCATTCTTTGCCATTCCTTAATTCTTTATTATGTTAATGATTATTCAATAGTGCTTCTATTTAGATTCATCAAATGAAAAAAACGAAACAAGTATCACTCACTTTGTAGGCACCATATGGAAAAATTTCTGCTTGATTGTTCAAATTTATAAGTACATTCTCAATTTTATCTAACAGCTACTTCAAGTTATACCATCAAATTAGTAGAAAATTTCATACTGAAGGTAGATCCTATAAAAAGTCTTCATAAGCCTGTTCTTTTCTACTAAAAATTTCCAAACGAGCCATATTTATATGTTTTACAATTGTCAGATCTAACATAAAAATAAATAAAAAAACATGGAAAGCAAATATTTTAATAAAGTTAAACAAAATGCAAAGTTTCCATAATTATAATTCCTTTATCTGTTCATACTGGCATAATGAGTAAGAAATATAGGTAATAAAAGGAGACTACTGATTAGACAGGAGTCCTGGTGTTCACGCTGTGGGCTAATGCATCAGACTGCAAAGTCGTTTGAACTGCAAGGTCGGTGGTTCAAGCTCACCAGCTGCTCCTTGGAAACCCTATACAGGGTCGCTATGGGTTGGAAATGGACTAGATGGCACTTAGAAACAACAACAACTGATTAGACAAGCTGTTAGGAACTTCAGGATTTAATCTCATTCAAGACATGAATCATGTAATATTGTACAAGTTATTTAATAACCTCACTAAAGATACAATTCCTCAGACGTTGAATAGATGCTTTGGATAGACATCATTATAGCTCTCCTCCGGTTTAATGTATATAATGGAATTGTTAGTTGTTAAGTGACATCAAGTTGGTTCTGACGCATAGCAACTCTGTATAGGGTTTCTAAGGAGCAGATGGTGGGTTTGAACTGTTGACCTTGCGGTTTGCAGTCCACGGTTTGCAGTCCAGTGCCAATCCTATAGCACCATATCAGGAGTCCATATAATGGAATAGGCTATAGAAAATAATTTAAATGTCAATAGACATTAAAAAAAAGTCAATAAACATGAGGGTGAGTCAAAAATTATCTGCACTCTTGACTGTAGAATTTTTTTTTTCCTTTGAGAAACAGAAATATTTCTTTCCTAACCAGAAATGGTACATTATTAAGTAGGGTATATTTTCAACAATAAGACACATTAAGAGTAATAATAAATATCTTTGCTTCTTTTTAGTGTCCTTTCTGTTATATTCCAAGTCCATTTGCAGCCTTCTTTTCTGTTTCGACATACTTCATCAAACATTTAATGTCATAGGGTTATTTTCTGGATGTGAAAACTAGCAATAATTTTAACACAGTGCCATGATTTATTTGCCTAACTGCTGGCCATCCTTCCCTCTTTTTTTTTTTTTTTTTTTTTTTAATGCTTTATTGTGAATTATGTGATAGTTTACATGGGAGAACATTAGTTTTACATTCATTCTACCGTATATCGTTTCTTGACTGTAGACTTTTAATCAACTTTTTAAAAAGGCAAAATTGATCATTTTTGACATAATCTCCTTGCTTTTTAATACACTTTGTCCATCTGCCAACAAGCTTTCCTATTTCTTTAATAAAAAATGTTTTTAAGCTGAGCTGCCAGCCAAGAATGCACCACTGCCTTCACTTCTGCATCAGAGGTGAATCTTTATACTCAAAGGGCTGCTTTCAGGGGACCAAACCAGTCAAAGTCTGATGGAGCAAAATTAGGCCTATACGGAGGATGCTTTAACACCTCAAAACTAACTTTTTGCAAGGTGTCAACAATGTGAGCAGAGGTGTGCGGATGTGCATTGTGTAAGATAACAGGGCCCTGAGATAGCAGTCCTCTGCGTTTAGTACGAAGTTTAGGATTAAGCTCTTTAGTGAGCATTACACTGTAATGAGCACTGTTGATTGTTAAAACCTTTTTCCTGATAGTGCTCCAAAATTGGTCCTTGGGAGTCCCAGAAAACTGTAAGCTTTCTAACTAACGGGTGACTTTTGAACTTTTTCTTGGTTGGCGATTGAAGATATTTCCATTCCATACTCTGCCATTTATTCTCAGGATTACAGTGATGAATGCATGTCTTGTTATCCATCTCACACAAACTTTTTGAAACCTAAGTTTTTCATGGATTATTTCATAGTCAGAGACATGTCTGATTTGCAAGTGATTTGTCACATAATCCACGGTCACTTGTCTATTCAACAGAATCAGTTTACATGCACACTCAATGATGTCATCAGCCATGGACGTGGACAGGCGTTTTGACATAACCAGAGCATGGGTAATTTCTGACTCACCCTCATATATCCATGTACCACAAGAAACTTTGGGAGATAAAACTTCTGTACCAGGAATCTATATGTAACAATTTTTCATGTTTGACAATATCTCCACATACCAATAATTGAAAATTAGTTTTTAACCATATGTAACATCATTTACTCCTACTGCTTAAAATTTACTTACCTTTTGTCTTTCCATGCAACTTATACAAATGTTGATAGCATAAAAAAGTTATCGATTGATTAGTCTTTCTATATAATACGAAAATAGGATTCTGGAATAAAGTCATTCAAACAAAATAACAGTGCAGCAGCTTTGTTAGATACTGTCAAGTAGGTTCCAACTCAAAGCGACCCTATGGAGAAGAAAACACGGCCCAGTCCTAGGACATCCTCACAGTTGTTACGCTAGAGTCCACTGCTGCTGCTACTGCCTCAATCCAACTCATTGGGGGTCTTCCTGCTTTTAGCTGACAATGAACTTTATAAAGCATGATGTCCTTCAGGGACTGTACCTCCCTGATAACATGTCCGAAGTATAAGAGATGAAGTCTAGCCATCCTGACTTCTAAGAAACAATTCTGGCTGTACTTCTGGGACAGATCTGTTTGTTCTTCTGGAAATCCACTGGACTTTCGATATTCTTCACCAACATTCTAATTCATTACCCAACTTTTACATGTGTATGAGGAGACTGAAAATTCCATAGCTTAGTCAGGTAGACCTTAGACCTCAAACTGATATTTTTGATCTTTAACACTTTAAAGAGTTCTTGTACAGCAGATTTGCCTAATGCAATACATAATTTGATTTGACTGCTGCTTTCATGAGTGTTGATTTAGAGCCAAGTAAAATTAAGTCACTGACATCTTCAATCTTTATCCCATTTATCATGATATTATTTGTAAGGATTTTTGTTTTTGTTACTTTAGGGGCAATCCATACTAAAGGCTGTAGTTTATGATCTTCATCAGTAAGTATTTTAACTTCTCTTTGTTTCTAGCAAGTAAGGTTGTTATTGTTGCTACATGCTATGGAGTCTTCAATTCTAACTCAGAGACCTTATGCACGACAAAACGAAACACTATCCAGTTCTGCACCATTCTTATCATTGTTACGTTTAAACTTCCACTGTGTCAATCCATCTCACTGGGGGTCTTCCTCTCCTTTGCTGATCCTCCACTTTACCAAGCATGATGTACTTCTCCATGGACCACTCCTTCCTGATAATATGACCAAAGTACAAGAGATGAAGTCTTACATTCCTGTCTTCTAAGGAATATTCTGGCTGTACTTCCAGCATAGATTTGATTGCTCTTCTAGCAGTGCATAATATCCTTCTCAAACAGTAAAGTACATGGATTCTTCTATGGTCTACCTTGTTTCTTCACTGTCAAACTTTCAAATGTTTAAGTTGTTGTTATTGTTAAGTGCCATCGAGTCGATTCTAACCCATAGCGACCCTGTATAGGGTTTCTGAGGAGCAGCTGGTGAGCTTGAACTGCCAACCTTGAAGTTCAAACAGCTTTACAGTATGGCGCATCAAGCCACAGCACCTACACCAGAACTCCAAATGCATGAGACAATCGATAATACAATGGCTTGGCTCAGGAGTACTTTTGCCCTCTTTAACAATTTAAAGAGGTCATATGCAGCAGATTTGCCTAATGTAATACATAACATTTGATTTCTTGACTACTGCTTCCATAAATGTTGAATGCAGGTCCAAGTATAACTTCAAACTTTTCTGCATTTATCATGATGTTATTTATTGGTTTAGTTTTAAGAATTTTTGCTTTCATTCATTGAGGTGCAATCCACACTGAAGACTGCAGTCTTCGATCTTCATCAATAAGTATTTCAAGTTGTCTTGACTTTCAGCAAGCAAGGTTGTATCATTTGCATATCACAGGTTGTTAATGAGTCTTCCTCCAATACTGATACCACATTCTTCTTCATATAATCCAGCTTCTCAGATTATGTGCTCAGCATACAAACTGAACAGGTATGGTTAGAGGATACAACTCTGGCACACACCTTTCCTGATTTTTAAATCATTTAGTATCCCCTTGTTCTGTTCTAACTGCTGCCTCTTGGTGTATGTACAGATTTCTCATGAGCATGAAAGAAGTGTTCTGGAATACCTATTCTTCACAATGTTATCTGTAGTTTGCTATAATCTACACCAGGTGTGGGGAACATTCAACCTGTGGGCAGTATGATGTTGTTGTTGTTTATTCCTTTCAAGTCGGTTCTGACTCATAGCAACCCTGTATAGGGTTTCCAAGGGGTGGCTGGTGATTTGAAGCACCGACCTTGAGGTTCAAACTGATCTTGCGGTCCAGTGCTTTACCTCACAGCACCATACCAGGGCTCCTGCAATCAGTATAAGGCCCATAAAATCGTTTGGTCTAGCCCTGCCAAGATAACCACAATTCCATCCACCACATTGTTGTTGATGTTAAGTGTCGTCAAGTTGGTTCTGACCCATAGCAACCCTGTATAGGGTTTTCGAGGAGCAGCTGGTGGGTTTGAACTGCCAATCTTGCCGTTCAAACTGACCTTGCAGCCCAGTACATTATTCTGCAGTGCCACACCAGGACACCATCCGTCACATTTGTTGTTGTTGTTAAGTGCTGCAGAGTCGGTTCCAACCCATAGCAACCCTGTATAGGCTTTCCGAGAAGCTGTAGATCAGGGGTGGGGAACCTTTTCTCTGCCAAAATTTATATCCTTTATTAGTGGGCAATATGGAATTATCAACTTAAAATACCCTGCTATATTTGGTCAGACATTTAATTAACTCATCCTTAATGTGATGGATAAGGAGCTCTGATAGCGTAGTGGTTATGAATCAGGCTGCGAATGGCAAGGTCAGCAGTTCGAAACTACCAGCTGTTCCGCGGGAGAAAGATGAGGCTTTCTGCTCCTGTAAAGATTTACAGCTTTGGAAACCCTGTACAGTGTCGCTATGAGTCAGAACCGACTCCATGGCACATAACAACAACAATGTGATGGGTGAATTAATTAAATGTTTGACCAAATATAGCAGGGTAATTTTAAGTTGATAATTCTGTATGGCCTGCAAATGATTTTATAAATTTTGGCAGAAAAAAGGTTCTCCACCCCTGTGATCTACATAGTTGAAAGGCTTTGCATAGTTAATAAAGCAGAAGTAAACACGTTTCTGGTATTCTCTGCTTTCAGTCAAGATCTATCTGACATCAGCAATGACATCCCTGGTTCCACATCCTTTTCTGAAATTTGGCTTAAATTTCTGGTAATTCTCTGTCAATGTACTGTTTGCCAAGCATGTTTTAAATTATCTTCAGCAAAATTTTACTTGCATGTAGTATTAATGATGTTGTTCAGTGAGTTCTGTATTCTGTTATATCATCTATCTTTGGAATAGGTTCAAATTTGGAATGCTTCTATTTGGTTGGCCAGGTAGATGGCTTCCAAATTTCTTAGCATAGATAAGTGTGCACCTCCAGAACTGTATTAGTTGGTTGAAATATTTCAATTTGTATACCATTAATTCCTGAAGATGTGTTTTTCATCAATGTCTTCAGTGCAGCTTGGACATCTTCCTTCAGTACAATAGGCTCTTGATCATATCCTAACTCTTGACATGGCTAAACATCAACCATTTCTTGTTGGTAGAGTGACTATATATTTTGTTCATCTTCTTTTGATGGTTTTGCATTATACAATATCTTGTCCATGTTGCTGTTGTTGGGTGCCGCCAAGTTGGTTTCAATCTATAGAGATCTATGTACAATAGAATCCTTCAGTAGTTCAAGTTGAGGCTTGAATTTTTTCGTCAATTCTTTCAGCTTGAGAAATGCTGAGCATGTTCTTTCCTTAAGGTTGTCTAACTCCAGGTCTTTGCACATTTCATTATAATACTTGACTGTGTATTCAAAAAAACAAAGTAGGTCTTAGAATTTTTCAATTCAAATATTTTACATGCTCATTTCTTTTCTTTATGCTTTTATTTATCGCTGCTCAAGAACAAGCCTCTTTTGATATCATTTTTGTCTTTTCTTTCTTTCCTGTCTTTTAATGACCTTTGTTTTCTTCCTGTATGATGCGCTTGATGTCATCCCACAACTCTTCTGGTCTTTGATCAGTGGTTTATTATGCATTAAATCTATCCTTGAGATGATATCTAAATTCAGGTAGAATATATTCAAGGTCATATTTTGGCTCTTGTGGACTTAGTTTTCTTTAGCTTCAGCCTGAACGTAGATATGAGCAACTGATGATCTGTTCCACAGTTTGCCCGTGGTCTTGTTTTGGCTCATGATATGGAGCTTGCTTCCTACTGATGTAGCCAATTTAATTCCTGGGTATTCCATCTGGTGAAATCCATGGGAATACTTGCCTTTTATGTTACTTTAAAAATATTTACAATGAAAGTCGTTGGTCCTTGAGACTCAGTGCCCAGCGTGAAAACAAAGCAGCTGGTTTTTACCTACAGAGAACTGGAGAAAGTTTTGTCATTAAATGCTTACCACCAATGCCTGATGTCTTTGGGATATGGACAACCTTGTTCATTTTGATGTGATGAATTCTAAGGATATAACACCCCCCAAAGGTTCAGGAATCAGTAGAAATGATGGCTGTAGTTTTCACACCTCCAACCAGTCATCAGCCCATGATAAATCTCCACTGGGCTTGGAAACATCCACTCATTATAAAATTTTATATAAGGGACTAAGGCACACTTGTCAGCTTCTCAACCAGTAACCGTATGTTCAGGGAGCTCAGCAGTTTGCAGTAAAAATCCCCCTTCAGGCTGAACCTAGACAAATAACATGTTGCTTTTCCATTTTTCTCTGTCTTCAAAGTTTTAAAGCCCATCCTTTGAACCGTAGTAAAAATTTGTAAGTGCTGGATGAAAAAAAAAAAGTCATTGGTCCTGTAAAATTATCATGTGGCCTCCAAGTATCATTTCTATCACCAAGCCATATTTTCCAACAACTGATTTTTCCTGTTTTCAACCTTCGAATTCCAATCAGTAATTATCAATGCATCTTAAATGCATGTTTGATCAATTTCAGACTGAAGAAACTGATAGAATTCTTCAATTTCATCAGCACTGGCTTTACTGGTTCCTGCATAAATTTGAATAATAATGGTATTAACTCGTCTTCCTAGTAGGCAAACATTATTATCCTTCCTCCAAACTTGATGCCAAGTTCTTCTTTATATAATTCAGCTTCTCACATTATTCATTCAGCAAAGAGTTTCAGTTAGTATTGTAAATAAGCATCTGAATCAGTATTGTGAAAGGATACAACCCTTGCATGTACATTTCCTGATTTGAAACCATTCAGTTTCCCTTGCTCTGTTTAAACAAGTGTCTCTTAGTCTATGTACTGCTTCCTCATGACATAAGTTAAGTGTTATGGAATAGATATTCTTGTTATCCATAGTTTGTTATGAACTGCACAGTTAAAAACCTTTGCATAGTCAATAAAGCACAAGTAAACATTTTTCTGGTATTGTCTGCTTCCAGTCGAGATCCACCTGACATCAGCCTTGATATCCCTGGTCCTACCTCCTCTTCAGAATCTGACTTGAATTTCTGGAATCTCCCTGTCCATCTATTGCTGCACCTGTTTTTAAATTATCTTTAGCAAAATTTTACTTGCATGTGATAGTAATGATATTATTGAATGATCTCTGCATTCTGTTGGGTCATACCTTTTCTTGGAATGAATCCAAATACACATCTTTCAAATGTTGATGCATATGTAACTGAGCACCTCCAGTGTCACATCAGTATATTGAAACATTTCAATTTGCATACCATCAATAACTGGTTTTTCTCTAATGCCTTCAGCGCAGCTTGGATTTCTCCCTTCAGTACCATTGGTTCTTGATCATATCCTGACTCTTGAAATGGTTGAACACAGATCATTTCTTTTTGGTATAGTGACTATGTACATCTTCCATCTTCTTTTAATGCTTTCTGCATCATTCAATAATTTGACCATTGTTGTTACTATTGTTTTGTGCCATTGGTGGAGTCCGTTCAGACTCATGGTGACCCTGTATAAGGTTTCTGAGGCTTTCAATTTTCTTGAGAGCACAAAGACTCCTCTTCTCTATGCTCTAGAACAAGTTTCAGAGTCTCTTCTGACATCTATTTTTCTCCATTCTTTCTTTACTGTCTTTTAAAAATGCTTTTGCTTCTTCCTATAGAATGTCCTTCATGTCATCCTACAACTTTTCTGGTCTTTCATCATTAATATCTAATGCATCATATCTGTTCTTGAGATGGTCGCTAAGTTCAGGTGGGATATACTTAAGATCATAATAGCTTTAATCAGCGCCATTACTGCCTTTCCACTCCAACTCCTTCATAATATCACAATTTTGACATCCTTCTCAAAACAAGGCTAATAAAAATTTAAATGATTAAAAAGCAGGCAACAATGTGTGATTCTTAATCAAATCCTGGATTAGACTAAGAGTGATGGTGGCAGAAGGGGAACAGCTAAAAAGGACACTATTGCGATAGCAGGGGAATTTTGACTATGGGTTAAAACAGTAATGTTGCGATGTTAAATTTCTTGAGTGTAATAATTATATTGTGGTTAATCAAGAAATCAAAATTTTCTTAGGACGTACTGAACTGTTTGGGGTGAAATGTTATGGTATTTGAAATATTCTCTCAAATGGCTCAGCAAAAGATGAATGTGTGTATATGTGTGTGTAGATACAGAGAGACAAAAAGCAAATATGGTACAATATTAGTAACTGGTGAATTTCTGTGACCAATTATTTGAAGTTTTTCTTCCTACTTTGGGGGAAAATCTATAGACAAACAAAAGCCTAACAAAACAACTGCAGGGCACAAGGAAGAAAGTAAAAGGTCAGAGATAAGCCACAGATCAGAAATTAGGTCTTAAGTAATTTCAAGATCAATACATACTAAGAGAATGAAAAAAAGTTCAGAATTTATATGATTTTTTAATTTGTTCACTTGGCCAGAGAATAAATGTGTTAAATTTCCAATGAAAACTAGCTTTGTGTATAATTACTTTAAATATCTCATAAATTAAGTCATAAATTACTTTAAACATCTCATAAAATAAGCCAAAGGTTTATACGCATACTTGGAAAATGTCTCTTCATTCTGATGCTTGTAACATTGCACAGGACTTAGCCAAAATAATACTTTTAACTTAAAATTTCTGAGGATTCACAAGTACTTTTTAACATTTACTTAAAAAAAAAAAAGACTTCATTTGGACCACCTGCTTTTTAATTTAATTTAGTTGGTTGTTGTTGTTGTTATGTGCCGTGGAGTCGGTTCTGACTCATAGCAACCCTGCATGTGATTTCCGAGGACTGGCTGGTACGTTTGAACCACAAACCTCATGGTTTAATCTGGCCATGCAGTCCAGTGCTTATCCTACAGAAACACACCAGGACTCCAATCATGTTTATAATGGCTTATTTGTCTGAGATCTTCCTGACACTAATGCACAAAAAGAGAGAAAAATGGCAATTTTCTAATTGCCAAATATTACCTAGATCATCTGGTGTCTGAAGAACAGAGTGGTGAAGCTTCTCATCAAGCTGTAGATCTTTATGTTCCATATGATCTATATGCAGTGTAGAAGGGGACGGTGTCTGTGATCTGGATCCCAAAGCTGAATGGACTGGGGAAGCACTTTCAGAACCTGTAAATATATTTATAATTTATATAACATCTCTGTAGTATTACTGATATCACTGATTTAGATTTTAATTACTAATAAAAATTTCTAGTGGAATCCTAAACATAGTTACTATTTATATATACTTTTAAAATTCTAAGAAATTGAATTGCACATAAAGACCTACAACAAGTTCTCCATACATATCAAATTTTATTTTTAAAGCTTTTGTGTAAAATTTTATTTTTGAATACCAAAGAGAAGCAAGAAATCTTTTGAAAACCCAGTAGTCTGATGAATAGCTTAAAGTAAACTAGTAATTGGCTAATAGAGAGAAACTCTCTAGGTTCACTGAAGAGCATAATGGTTAGAAATTATTTTTTCAAAAGAATAGCCGCCAGATAAAGAACAAAGTGGAATCCTTCTGAGTCACAGGTTGTGGAGAGATATGCAGTGGATCACAAACCACTGAGAAAATGTCTAGGGCATTTCATTATTTCTACTTTGAATTATACACTATTTAAGGTTTAAAAATCTCTCTCTGTTGTTAAGTGCCATCGAGTCGATTCTGACCCATAGCGACCCTGTATAGGGCTTTCCAAGGAGCAGCTGGTGAGCTTGAACCACTGATGTTGCAGTTCAAATGACTTTGCAGTCTGATGCATTAGCCCACAGCGCCACACCAGGACTCCAATAAAAATCTCTCTAGACCATTTAGTATCAGCAAATTAACACAAATTGTAAATACTCAGTATCCTAAAATTTGTGATGATCTAGAAAAATCTCTCTAGACCATCAAAAATTTTAAGATACTGAGTATTACAATTTACATTACGTTGCCGTTACTAGATGCTGTCCAATCACTACCAACTCACAGAAACCTTATGCACAAAATAACGAAACACTGCCCTGTCCAGTGCCAACCTCACAATGGTTGCTACACTTGAGTCTATTGCTTCTGCCACTGTACCAATCCATCTTGTTGGAGGTCTTTTCTCTTTTTCAATGAACCTCCACTTTACCAAGCATAATAATATCCTTCTCCAGGGACTGATCTCTCCTGTTAATATGCCCAAAGTATGAGAGAGTAAGTAAGTATGGCCATCTTGGCTTCCAAGGAGCATTCTGGGTGTACTTCTACCAACAAAGATTGGTTTGTTCTGCTGGACCATAGGTACTTTTAATATTCTCCTCCTCCAACACCATGACTCAAATACATCAATTCTTCGCTTTCCTTACTCACTGTACAACTTTCACATAGCATTTGAAGCCACTGAAAATTTCATGGCTTCTGTCAGATGCTCCTCAGTCCTCAAACTGACATCTTTGCTCTTGAACACTTTAAAGAGGTCTTCTGCAGCAGATTTGCCCAATGCATTATGTTATTTGATTTATTGACTGCTATTTCCTTGAGTGTTCATGATGGATCTGAGCAAATTGAAGTCTTAGACAACTTCAATCTTTTCACCATCATCTTGATGTTATTGATTGTTCTAGTGATGACGATTTTTGTGTTCTTTACATTGAGATGACACCCAGAACTAAGGTATACTACATCTTTGCCGCTATAGCTGTTTGTGAACTGCCTTTAGCAAAATTTACTTGCATGCATTATTAATGATATTGTACATTGATTTCTGCATTCTGTTGGGTCATCTCTCTTTGGAATAAGCACAAATACAGATTTCTTCCAATCAGCTGGCCAGGCAGTTGTTTTCCAAATTTTTTGGCACAGATGAGTGGCTTCTCAAGTGCTGTATTAATTTGTTAAACAAATTTATTTTTTCCTATCAATTTCTGGAAGTTTGCTCTTTGCCAAACTTGCTCTTTTGCCTTCAGCGCACTTTGGATTTCTTCCTTCAGTATCACTGGCTCTTGATCATATTCTACCTATTGAAATGGTTGGACACTGACCATTTCTTTTTGGTACAGTGACTCTGTGTATTTCTTCCAACTTCTTTTGATGTTTTCTGCATCATTCAATATTTTTGCAGGAGAATCCTTCAATACTGCAAGTCTCGGCTTGAATATTTTCTTCAGTTTCCTCAGTTTGAGAAAAGGTGAGCACATTCTTCCTTTTTGGTTCTTGAACTCAAGATCTTTGCACATTAAAATATTTGACTTTGTCTTCTCGAGCTGCACTTTGAAGTTTTGTATTCAGCTCTTTAACCTCCTTATTTCTTCCATTTGGTTTATCATTTTTCTGCTGGCGAACAAGTTACAGAATATCTTCTGACATCCATTTTGGTCTTTTCCTGTTTTCTTGTCTTCTTAGTGACTTTTGCTTTATTCCTGTATAATGTTCTTAATGTCATTCCAAACTCTTCTAGTCATTGGTCATTAGTACCTAATGCATCAAATCTGTTCTTGAGATGATCTTTAAATTCAGGTGGGATACGTTTAAAGTCATATTTTTGACTCTCATGGATTTGTTTTAATATTCTTCAGCTGCAACCTGAATTTGCATATGAGCAACTGATAGTATGTTTCACAGTGTGCCCCAAGCCTTGTTTTGGTTGATCATATGGAGCTCTTCTTCCACTCTTTTCATAGATGTAGTCTACTTGATATCTGGTAAGGCCCACATGCATAGTTGTCTTTCATGTTGTTTAAAAAAGGTATTTGCAAAGAACAAGTGATTAGTCTTGAAAAATTCTATCGCTTGCAAGTTTTTATCACTAAGGCCATAGTTTCCAATGACTGACTCTTCCTCTTTGTTTCCAACCATCGCATTCCAATAACTAGTAATTACCAATGCATCTTGAATGCATGTTTGATCAATTTCAGATGGAAGAAACTGACAAAATTCTTCAATTTCATCACCACTGGCTTTAGTAGTTCATGGATAAATTTGAATAGTGGTATTAACTGGTCTTTCTTGCACGCAAACTATGTTATCCTATCAGACAGACAGTTTTGTACTTATACACTGATATTTAAATGCTCTTTTTGACAATGAATGCCATGCCATTCTTCTTTTGTCACTTCCAGCATAGTAAACCATGATTGCTAGATTCTAAATGGCCAAACACCAGCATATTTGAGCTCCTGAATGCCTAAGACATTTATCTGTTGCATTTCATTTCTGGGAACATCCAGTTTTCTATACTTTAGTGCATTCCATGTTTCTATCATTTATGAATGTTTGCAACTGTTTCTGCTCATTTTGAGTTGTTCCCCATCAGCAAATGAAGGTCCTTTGCTCCACTAAGTAATTCTGGTAACTGTATATAATGCTATAACCTCTAACAAGCAAACTACAGAACAAGTATTATTACCCTAAAAATGTTCCTTGTGCCCATGTGCAGTAGATTTCCTCCTCTGACCCCTAATCCTACTGATTTGCCTGACACTACAGTTTGCTTTCATATAGCCTCAACTTGCAATACTGAAAGATACTATCGTCAAAATATTGAGTGATGCAGAAAGTATCAAAAGATGGAAGGAATGCAGAGTCACTGTGTCAAAAAGAAATAGTCGATGTTCAACCATTTCAAGAGGTAGCATGTGATCAAGACCCAATGATACTGTAGGACGAAGTTCAAGTTACACTGAAGGCATTGGCAAAGAACAAGGCACCGGGAACTAATGGAATACAAATCAAAATCTTTCAACAAACTGACGCAGCACTGGAGGCACTCACTCTCTATGCCAAGAAATTTGAAAGACAGCTGCCTGGCCAACTGAATTGAAAAGATCCATATCTGTGCCCATTCCAAAGATGACACAACAGAATGCTGAAATCATCAGACAATATTCATTAATATTGCGTGCAAATAAAATCCAAAGATAATACAAAATTCCAAAGCTAATATAAAATTCCAAAGCTAATACAAAAACAGCTGCAACCATACATTGCTAGAGAACTTCCAGAGGTTCAACCTAGATTCAGAAGAGGACATGGAACGAAGGATATCACTGCCTGATATCAGATGGATCTTGGCAGAAAGCTGAGAATACCAGAAAGATGTTTACCTTTGCTTTATTGAACTACACAAAGGCTTTTAATTGTGTGGATTATATGACAAGCTATGGACAACATTGTGGAGAACGAGTACTCCAGAACAATTATTGTGCTTATGAGGAACTGATACATATACCAGGAGATATTCATTCCAACAGAACAAGGGGACAATGAATAGTTTAAAATCAGGATGAGTGTGCATCAGGGCTGTATTCTTTCACCATACTTATTCAGTCTGTACACTGAGCACAAATAATACCAAGATCTGGATTATACGAAGAAGAGTATGGCGCCAGGATTGGAGGAAGATTCATTAATATCTGTAACATGCAGATGATACAACTTTGCTAGCTGAAAGCAAAGAGGGCTTAAAATACTTACTGATGAGTATCAAAGATCACAGTCTTCGGCATGGGTTGCACTTCAATGTAAACAAAACAAAAATCCTTACCACTGGACTAGTAACAGCAAGATAAATGGAGAAAAGATTGACGTTGTCAAAGACTTCATTTTGCTTGGATCCACCAACAACACTCATGGAAACAGTGGTCAATAAATCAAATGATGTACTGCATTGGGCAATTTGCTGCACAAGAGCTCTTTAAAGTGTTGAAGAGCAAAGATGTCAGTTTGAGAACTAAGGTGCGTGTGACCCAAGTCATGGTATTTTCAGTAGCCTCATATGCTTATGAAAGTTGTACAATGAGTAAAGAAGACTGCACAAGAATTGATGCACTGAAGTTACGGTGTTGGAGAAGAATACTGAGTACCATGGACCACCAAAAGAACAAACAAATCTGTGTTAGAAGAAGTACAACCAGGATGCTCCTTAGAAGCCAAGATAACCAGACTTCATTTCTCACACTTCGGATATATTATCAGGAGGGACCAGTTCCTGGAGAAGGACATCATGAGTGGCAAAGTGGTCAGCAAAAAAGATGGAGGTAGACTGGCACAATGGTAGCAGTAAGCATAACAATGATCGTGAGACTGGCAATGGATTCAGACAGTGTTTTGTGCATAGGGTTACTATGGGTCAAAACCTACTCAGTGGCACCTAACCACAACAATATTTAATCTTTTAAAGCAGCTGATTATTAATCCATAGTATGAATATTGGAGCCCTTGTGTGGTGATGTAGAAGTAAGCATAGGACAGCAAGGTCAATTTGAACCACAAGGTCGATAATTCAAACTCCTTAGAAACCCTATATTGAGTCGCTCTGAGTTGGAACCAATTCAACGGCACTTAACACAAGAAGTATGAGCATACTATAAATGGTGCATATTTGAAATGCTTTCACTTTTTAGCTACTAAGAGTAATGTTATTATGAATTTTCACATACAACTATGAATTTTCATATACAACCTTACAATGCAGTACACCTAGAATGGCCATATGGCAAATAAACACTTAACTTTATAAAGTAATGCCATGTTTACCCATAGTGGTCATATCATTTTGTATTCCCACTAGCAATGTGTGACATTTTTCAGTTGAGCTACACCCTCTTCAATAGTTGATATTATCAGTATTTTTAACTTTACTTGTTTTAATATTTGTACAGGAAGACCCCCAGTGAAAGGGATTGGCAGTATCGGTAGCAATGGGCTTAAACATAACAATTGTGAGGATGGCATAGGACTGGGCAGTGTTTCGCTCTATTGTGCATAGAGTCACCATAACTTGGAATTGACTCAAGGACATCTAACAACAACAATAAAAACATAGTGGTATCTCATGTGATTTTTATTTGTACGTCTGTAATTACTAGTAAGTTATCTTCTCACCTACTTTATTTTAAAAGATAACTGCAGTAAAAATGGTTACTATAAAATAAGAATTTTCTCTTATATTTCTCTCTCATTAATTTAAACCCTATGATAATGAAATTATGGGACTAACAAAGTTGGCTCCTGTCCTCTACTCTGTGCCCCATTCATTAATGGGAAAGACTAAAGTCCTTACTTATTCTCTGGAAGAAGGGATGTAGTGAAGAGGAAGCAAGATGATAGGTTCCTGCCTATTTAGTTTTACCTTGGTTCAATTTAATCTGTCTGATGAACTAACTCAAGAGATGCAAAAATCATTGGTCCAGGTTTACAACTTGCAGTCAACGACAAGGGTAAAAAAAAACCCAAACCATCCCACTGATATTTAAGCGAAGTAGATAACCACTATCAAGTGGCATCAAACTTCAGCTGGAACCAAACAAATTTGAATCATGCAGTAAGTAGAAGTCTCAGAACTATGGAACAGTATTTGCTCAGGCTCACTCTAATTACTGAAGTAACCTTGTAATAATGTACACTGGCATTTTGCATAATTGAATTTCCTTGATCTTGTTAAGTGCCATCGATTTGGTTCCAACTCATAGGGACCCTAATGTACAATAGAATGAAACACTGCCCAGCCCTGCCCAGCCCTGTACCATCCTAACAATTGCTGCTGCACTTGAATCCATTGTTACTACCACTGTGCCAATCCATGTCGTTGGGGGTCTCTCTCTTTTTCACCCTCTCGCCTTGATCCTTCCTGTTTATCATATTATAGTGGATGATTTAGTCACATATAATTTCTTAAAAAATATAAATTACTATATAAATACAAAACATTAATTAACATAAAAAATAAGGCTTTCTATTGGGAAGTATGCTTTATATGCTTTTTATAATAAATACATAAAGAGCTCTGGTTACGAATCTGGCTGCTAATCTCACGGTTAGCAGTTCAAAACTACCAGCTGTTTGCAGAAAGATGAGGCTTTCCGCTCCCGTAAAGATTTACAGCCTCGGAAACCTTGTAGAGGGTCACTATGAGTCGGAACCGACTCTACAGCACATAACAACAACATAATAATAAATACATAAAAATCTAGGCTAACTAAACAAAAACAATAAACGTATAGTGCCTCTATACCTCTTTTGGTTGTCTACTTTTAAATCTCTGAAGAAAATGTTCTAGTATATATGTATGTGTGTATGGCAACAGTAGTGAGGTTGGCCCAGGATCGGGCAGTGTTTCGTTTTGCTGTGCACAGGGTCGCTATGGGTCAATACTGACTTGATGGCACCCAACAACAACAAAAACAGCATGCAATTTTGCAATAGGATATTAAAAGTTCACAAAACTCATGAACCTTACTCACATTGACTCTAGGTAAAAAAATTATTGTTTTAATTTCTCTTTTGTCTCCTTCCATTGTTACATAAAGATGAGCAAAAATAATAATAAGTCATACTTATAATCTCTCAAACAAAATTCTAAGCAGATTCATTGGAAGACTTAAAATAAATATTTAAGGAATATATTCAAGTAATTTTACCAGTAACCGTCGCAACTTCTGCAGAGAATGCTTGCTGATTAAGACTGCTTGTTTCAGAATCTATGTGAAGTGTGGTAAGACTAGCCACTTCCTGTTCCTCAGCACTCTGCTGATGGCCAGAGCCTGAATCCACCTCAGCAGAGGTTGCAATTCCAGTATCAGTTCCAAAGCCAAAATCTATAGGAAGAAGAAACGCTTCTATAGTTTAAATCCCAATTAACAAAAGAAATACAACAGACACAGCTACTTCAACAAAATGATCAAACATTATCAATCCCCCTAAATCTATTCTATTTAAAACCCAGACAAGCAAGTGTAAACACTATAAACAACAGCTTGAAGATTACAGTTAAAAACTTAATTTTTAAAGATTCTCCCAACTTATTAACAAAAATGCTGATAAAAGACACTACTGATATCCATATTTTCATATAGTTGGTAATACACTTACTGCTTTTCAAGTACTTGTGAATCTTTGGTGGTAATGGTGGTGTTGTATGCCGCTGTTGAGTCGGTTCCGACTCATAGCAATCTTATATAGGATTTCCAAGAGTGGCTTGATGGGTTTGAACTGCTGACCTTGTGGTTACCAGCCCAGAGTTTACCCTACAGCATTACACAAGGGTTCATTCTTTGGTAGAGGAATATATTATAAAAATGGCATATAATTTAAAAGATGCATTATAAAAATGCATCTTTCTTTTAAATCATATTCCTAGTCTGAGTAAGATAACAGCAGCATATTATGCATGAGGGCAGGATAAATATACTTCTTCAATGCATCTTCAGCTTTACACAAACTTGGTTATCTAAGTTTCTGGTGTTATTTTTTTAACATCCTTTACTGACAGCCAAGTTTATTAGCATCATAGCAGAATAGCTATGTGATTGTTGCTGTTGTTAAGTGCCATTGAGTTGATTCTGATTCACAGCGACCCTGTAAAGGGTTTCCAAGGAGCAGCTGGTGAATCTGAACTGCCAAACCAAACAAGGTGGTTCAAACTGACCTTGTGGTCCAGTGCTTTAACCCAGAGTGCCACACCAGGACTCCAAAATGTGACAGGAATATAATTTCACTGCTATATAGTTGATTCTGACTTTTACAGTGGTTCAAGTGGTTAAGTGCTTGATTGCAAATCAAAAGCTTGGTGGTTTGAACCCACCAGCCACTCTGTATGAGCAGGATGTGGCAATATGCTTCCAAAAGCATTTATATCTTTGGAAACCCTATACAGCAGTTCTACTCAATCCCACAGGTTCACTAGGAGCTGGTAGTAATATAGCACCAAATAATATCACTGATGTCATTTCAACAAGGAACGATTATTTAAAGGAGATTCTGGGACCCAAAAATTCTATTCTAGCTATAAATTTCCAGCAATATTATGTTGTTGTTATGTGCGTTGAGTCGGTTCCAACTCATAGTGACCCTGAATAGTTTCTGAAGAGTCTTGTGGGTTTGAACCACCAACCTTGCAGTTCAAATTGACCTTACAGTCAAGTCTTTATCCTACAGTGCCACACCAGGACTCTCACAATATCATTAAACACATATAAATTCTTCTCATGTTATAATATCTAATACAGTCCACATTTCTCTCTTCCTATTTTGTTTCAATGTCTTTGATTATTTTTAGGTGAGGGTCCAATCAAAGATCACTCGTTGTGTTTAGTTATCAAATTTCTTTAGTCTTTGAACCATAACAGTCCCTCTTGCTTTTTTTAAAATCCCCTTTCCATGACACGATCATTTTTGAAGCATCCAAAACAAAACCAGCTCTCTAACACCGAGTCAATTCCAACTATTAGCAACCCTATCTAGGTTTCTGAAACTGTAAATCTTTATGGGAGCAGACAGCCGCACCTTTCTCCTGTAAGGACAGCTGGTGGGCTTCAACTGCTGGCTTTGCAGTGCACAGCCCAACACTTAACTCACTGTACTACCAGGGCTCTTTCTGACTGTCCAGGTCAGTTTTATAGAATGTCTTACAGTTTGAATTTGCTTGATCATTTCCTCACGATTAGATGCAGGGTAAGCATTTTAAATAGATTTTACCGACCTCTTAGGGGTAGGATTGTTCAAGTGGCATGCTACTTGGACCCACACTCTCAGAGATCATCTAAATGATCCATGGTGAAGCTAGCTTATTCAGGAAAATCAAGGTGTGCCGAAGAAAAGACGAAAATCACCTTGAATATGCACATCTTACTTTGGGACACATCTTCAGGATAAGATATGCCTGCTTGAATTCTTGGGACTTGTCTCTTGATGTATTATTTCCAGGAGTAAAAAAAAACCCTGGTATATCATATGCTGCTGTTGTTGTTAAGTGCCGTTGAGTCATATCTGACCCACAGCGACCCTGTATAGGGTTTCCAAGGAGCCGCTGGTGAGCTTGAACCGCTGACCTTGCAGTTCAAACGGCTTTGTAGTCTAGCGCATTAACTCACAGCACCACACCAGGACTCGGTATATCATATATCATGGCGCAAATGGCAGATGGGACTTATAGTGGGCTTCAAACACTACAAAGGTAGCCTTGTTAAGTGAGGTTAAAAAAAATCTTCAGGAGCAAGGATTGATTTTACTGAACTTGCAGGGAAAAGAAAGATTCAAAGGTCATGAGGGTCATTAGCACCATGTCAGGATAAAGTTAGTTTTCACGGTCTCAGTAACTGAAGTCTAATGCCCAGGTGGTTTGTTTTAAAATTGAATTGTACACAGTGTTTATTCCAATAGGTTGATGTCTCTAGGGGTTGCAAGAAGGGCAGAAACAGGGGTATCTCACACAAAGGAGTATTTTAAGAAAAATAAGCATTTGGTACAATTGATACCAATTCTTAAAGTTTGTAAATCTAAATTTGGAAATGAAAAAGTGAAAGAAACTCGATAGGAAGGTCCTCTGTAAATAATCTGTATTATGTTTTTATATGCAGATCAACTCATAAGCCATGACTATCCTTTATTCTAACATCCTAAATATTTTTCCATTCTACATTTTTGGTATTAAAAGTGACACTCGTTCTATAAATGGATAGTGCTTCTTTTTTAAATGTCTTGAGTTTGGCAAAATTAAGAGGTTTCAACCTGAGGGGATTCCATAAAACTTCATTTGGAATTTCACTAAAAAATGGATAGAAATGGATGGGAGCCCTTGTCCTAAATCATACTGGAGAGGAAGATGACAGCTATGTAATCCATAACTCAGTCTTGAACAGAAAGCAATCAACAAAAGACATATTGCTCAAACTGAAAAAGATACTTGCTGTCAAATTTTCGGCCATCGTATTGGAAAGCACTGAAAGAATCCGAATGACTATCTGAGCTGATGAGATCACTGCTCCCTGCACTTGCAGGAGAAGTCCATTCTGAGGGCACACCAGGATCATCAACAGGGCGCATTTGATTCTGTTTGTTTAGAATATCAGGAAGGTCTTTGGGAATCTCAAGGCTGCCTGGACTACTTCCTCTTCTTGTCATAGTCTAAAAATTCAAGATACATTTTACCATTAACAAGATAAAAAACACACAATAATTTCCATTCTCATTAAGCATCTGAAAACTCTGTATTTCTGAGATAATCATAATACTAAACATTGAGATTTAGGGCCTGGAGTATGAATGCGGTGGGAAATGCTAAAAAATTTATATAACTGTACTGACCTACAGCCTGAATTATTGTTAGTCTGCTTAAAGCAAAAATAGAAATATCAGACGGTACTGAGTCTGACTCTTAAGCTTCAGTAAGATCCAGGGAGTGAATATAAATTAAAGCAATAAGAAGAGTAAAGTATTCAAGCGGGAAAAACAAGCAGTAAACAGAAGAGACAGTGAAAGCAAAGGATGGTGGGATGGAAGAATGAGCAAACATAACATTCTAAAATAATTTTCACCCATTCATGAAAAATATTAAGTAAATTAGAACAAACTAATATAAATAAAATATAGCTATACACCTTCTCTATAGACAAGTGAAAACCTAAATAGAATATGATCATTAAAAAAAAAATCAGTTTCAGACATATCTCCTTAATAAATATGTATTTTCACTACCATCAGACAGTTTCTGACTCATAGCAACCCTATATATAAGACATAGAACTGTTTCACAGTTTTCAAGGCTGTAAAGTTTACAGAAGCAGACTGTCACATCTTTCCCCCCAATTAAGAATTGCTGTTGTTGTTACGTGCTGATGAGTCAGTTCCAACTCATAGCGACCTTGTATAGGGTTTCTGAGGAGCGGCTGGTGGGTTTGAACTGCCTACTTTGTGGTTCAAACCAGCCTGTGGTCCAGTGCATTTTCTTACCGCACCCCACTAGAGATAAAATAGAATTCTGGTATGGTGCTGTAGGACAAATACTGGACTACTAACTGAAAGGTCGGCAATTCAAACCCACCAGCCACTCCTTGGAAATCCTATACAGGGCCATTATGAGGCAGTACTGACTCAACTGCACTTAACAACAAGAAGGAATAAAATAACTTTTTTTTTCCCCATAAGCACAACACTCACTTTTATTGCAATTTATTGCAAAGTTATCTAGAATGATTAAGCAATAAGTACTTGTGGTATCAAAATGATGGAAGATGGGCCAGAAGACCCCTATAGCTATCCTAACTGCTAAGGGCTAGTAGCTAGCCCAAACATGATAGCCAAGAGTGAAAAAAAGGGAGAAGGAAAGAGGAGGGACTAAGGAGATAATCAAAGTCTCTGAGTAGTACAAACCGAAAACTTGGAAGTTGAAAGCTAAAAGAGGTACTACAAAAGAAAGGTGTGTCTATCTGCATTTAAAAATTAGCCACTGAAACCCCTTTGTAGCACAGTTTTACTCTGACACACACAGTATCACCATGAATTGTGGTTGACTCAACAGCAATGGAATACGGTAGCATCTTATACCTATGTAATTAGTCTACAATCTTTCACTATGGTCAAAGCTTGAAACAACCAACAACCTATTGCTATTGACCAATTCTGACTGATAGCAACCTGGTCGGACACAGTAGAACTGCTCCCTAGGATTTCCAAGACTATAGATCTTTACAGAAGCAGACTGCCTCATCTTTCTCCTGAAGAGTAGCTGGTGAGCTTGAACCGACAATGTATCAGTTCACAGCTCAGTGCTTAACCAATGAGTACCAGAGCTCCTTGGTCAAAGCTATAAGCTGCCTTATTTTATGTTCTTGGATAAAAAACCTTGTAAGAAATTTTAAAATCTTAAATTTAATAAAGGATTAGCATTTTGAAGAAGAAAAATTTTTTGTTTGAACAAAAATTTCCCCATATATAGTAGGCACACACAGATGTACATATCCTGTATTTTTCTACCCTCTTCCCTAAAACTGAATAAATAAAACTTACTGAGGCATTACCACTTCGAAGTCGTTCTGCTATAAACTCATCCATCAGATCAGGAACATTAGTGCTGCTGCTGCCAATATCACTATTAAGAGCCGGCAGTTTGGGGCTCATGTCCTCTTTATTGGCTAAAAAGAAATAAATAACTATATAGTGAGTAAAGACTTAACTACATTTTCTAAATTTGAAACAAACAAACAAAAATCAAAATATCTAGGCCATAACAATTATTTGCCAAACATGCATTTACAAATAATCTCCCTCCTCTTAGATTTAATTTTAAGAATTAGTAAATTGATATATATTTTTTTAACTAAGCAGAGGTTAGTCAATCTTCAGTATGACCTTAAACAGCAAGAAAGCTTATAGATAAGCACTAGTTGAAGTTAGGTTAATATTGCCTATAAAGAAACTAGTATATATTTATCTTCCTTATTATCTCTATTCTTCTATTTAAAATCTTAACCACTTAGCATTCTTTTCCCCCCTAAAAACTATTCCCAAGGAATAAATCTCTTGAATATATGCAAATCTAAATGGGGCACAAATGCATCTGAGTTTGAATATTTCTTAAAAAAAGAATAATCACCTATGGATTTTGACATAAATATTGCTTTTTTAAAAAAATTTTTAATCAGTGCTTTAAAAAGTGGTTTTTTCCCCCATAAGTGTTTCTTTTAAAAAAAAGATCACAATGATTATTTTGATCTTTTTATAACTATAATATGCATTATGACTTACATAGTAAGTTTTTACACTTGGGAAACTTAGAAAATAACACGTGATTATTTATTTCACTGTTAGGCTGCTGAAAACATTTCTCTGAAATTAAAAGACAATCAACACCATATATATTCCTAATGAAATTACAAAGCAATTCAAGTTAGGAAACTACACTAGTGAGCAAGCTCATTGTGAAGTTCGATTATCTTTTTATCATAGGTCAGCTTTGCTACGCTATCAAATACTGCCCTCAAGTGGCATTAATGGCTCAATGCAAGATGCTTTATACAGCGTAGTTAATCATGCTAACAAAATCATGTTAAAACAAATAAAATCAAAACCTACCTTACTGCTGAAAGCTAATTTTCTATATATAAAAAACTATTTTAACTTTGAATCAAGGTGAGAAAAACAATTACCATAATCTTATTTTCTTTATTCTGTCCATGGAGGTTCCATATTTAAATTATGATCAACTATCATGAAACCTTTATGCACATCTAAATCTCAGTAAAAAGAATTTAATGATTAAGTCTTTCAAGGATGTAACTCACATTCCATATAAATGAATGCAAAACTGTAAAGTCTATAATATTTGGAAATGGTTTAAACAAAAAGTAACTAAATCCACTTTGAGAATTAAGAAATTAATTCTTCAATGATAGACATTTAACTAAAAATGTTTATGCTGGTAGATTTCTATTATGTTCAGTAATGTCAAAGTAGTGTTCTACCAAGAATAAAGACAAAACCAAACAATGTAGCAGTAAAAATGACTGAACTTAATTAAATATAAAATACGGGCCTAGGAAAGTGTTCCAACTTCTCAATAAACTTAATTTTAATTTCAAGGCTCATGGTGCACAGACTCAGGCTCATGTGGACAGAGACTCAGAAAAATTCATGAGTTAGGTAGCTTTTGAAAGATCATTAAATTTTTCCTCTATTTTCCTCTTTTTTTTTTATCTTGTTCAGCAGCAAAGAGGTTTAACTATTGCCTTACAAGGGAAATTAGTAATTTAAATAAACAATTTATGCTGGGAAAAATACAGCTGGGAAAAGGCGCATGCATAACCAAACAGAGAGAAAGCAGTGACCATCCCAAAGCTTTTTGATTGCTTATAGCTTGCTTCAGTTGCATTAAGCCAAACTGGTGCTGTCTTTCTCCTTTTGCGCTCTGCACACTGTTAGTGCTCACCTGCAGCTTTCCTTCCAAAATAGCCCATTACATGACTGTACAGATCCCTCAGTGGAGCCTCTGGTGGCATTCTGTTCTGCCTCTGTGGGGAAACATTTGCCTTCGGCTTCGAAAGAGCATGTACAACAGTTTTATAAACGCCACCCAGGGAACCCTGCTGTAGTCCTGCCTCATGACTTGATGATTTAAGAGCACTACGATTGCCTAACTGGTTACTTGCGATTCCTTCCTTTTGTAACATGGTGATGGGCATCTCTGTGGATTCTTTCATTGTTTTACTGCTTACTGATGCTGCACTAATTGTATCTAGAGGCCTGTAAACACCAGGTTTGACTAGCTCTGCAACACAATTTGAGCTGGTCTGAGTGTTGCTGGTGCTGCTGGTATTACTATTGGAACTACAACTGCTACTACTACTACTAAAACCACCTAGCTTCCGTAGTCTCATCTTCCATGGAGCCTCTTTGTTTTCCAGAGGATTATAAAACTGAACCGATTCAGTGGATGGTCTAAAAGTAACATGAACGCTATTTCGTTTTTTAGTAGCAATTTTCATGATTTTGGCTCTATGCGTTACTGTTTCTGACAAGCTCCTTTTAGTTGGAGAAAGCTTACTAGTGTTCATAACATGAGGCATTCTGTGGTTAATGGGTGCTTTTAGTGTAACTTTCTTGGCATGCACAGCATGTGGGACAGTGACTTTTTCATTCATTTGCATACCCTTAAGCTTTCCAACTAGTGTTAGATCTACACAAGCATCTAATTCCGTGGCTGTTTGTCTATACAAATATTTCCTTTTTTCTTTATCACAAGGGCTGCCTGAACTAGATTGCGATGACTGTTTATCACTGTTTAGTTGCTTAGGTTTTTCAGAGGTTTGTGTTCGTTGAAAACTGTCTAATTGGCTAGGTGCAATGTTACTCATGAAGACAGCTGAGTTTGGTTCTTTTTGAAACTGTGTGTTTTCAGGAGTTCCAGTAAAAGGAGTGGCATTTTCTGATTTAATTTCCTGGTCTATATATTCTAATTTATCTATGGATGATCTTTCATCCCTATTTATTGCACTAATCACTTCCTGAAAAGTTGCATCTCCACCTATCTCATTTTTACTATGATTCTCCGGGTTTTCCTTAAGATATTCTTTCAGGGAGGAAAGAAGATCGTCATCTCCTTCAAGGTCAATGTATTGGATTTGTTCAAAAGCTGATTCTGCAAGTTCTACTGGACCTATTAAATGACAAAGATGGTCATATATGCTATCACCAACTTCCAGAGAAGACTCTCTACTGTGAGTATCAGTGATGTGGCTTTCAGTGGATCTAGTTATTGAAGAAGCCTCTGTGGAACTCTGCAAGCTTGGCGCATGACGGGATGAACTGTCAATGACAGGAACTGCACCTTTGGCTCGCTCAACAGTGAATGGTTCCAAGATGTCAGAAGTACTGCTACTTCGAGGCAATGGCTGTTCCTCACTCATAGCACCAAAAACTTCATTTCCAGTGTCTTCACTTTGTGAAAAATGTCTGACTCTAGTTGGGCGGGGTAGTATCTGAGCATCATCAATATCTGCAAAAGAGAAAAATTATGTAGACGTGTGGAGACCACATAAAAAGAAAAAAATTATTAATTTCAACCATATGCTAAGTACATGTTTTTAAATTTTTTAATTCTGAGATTTCTTTTTTTGTATAAGCTCAATGAAAGCAAAACTTTAAAAAATGCAAATCTGTTTAAACAACAACAAAAAAAAGATGGGCAGAAGCTTTAGGATGTAGTGTCAATGAATTAGAAAACTACCAGAATACATTTTAAAATGTTAACATGCATAGAAAGACAGTAAGGTGATGAAACATTTGGAAGTGCAGTTAAAGATAGAGCTGTGCCAATAAATCAAGCAATTCAAACTTGTAATTCCATTTTTCCTACCGCTTTATGTTCCAAGCAGGAAAAGTAAGTAACACATAAAGCTGATCTAAATATCGCTTTAGAAAACCCTAGAATTTTCCTAATTGTAGGGTCTCATAAATTTTCCTGCATCCTTCCTGAGCAGGCAAGAGGCATCTTTCTTTAGAAATCTTAACTGTCTTCCTAAAGTTCTCTTTGGCAGAACATTATCTGTTCTACCAAGGAGTATTAGAGTTCACTTCACTACAGTGTTAAAATATATTCCTCCACAACAAGTAAAACACATTATAAAAAATAAATTATACTTTTTGTTTTATTTTGACACAAATACCACTTTCTACAAAGAAACCTTATCTTCCAATCAACGACCCACTCATTAAACAACATATGAATTTTTATAATTCTGTTTAAGGATCTTATGGACTACATATTTCAGAGTCAAAAGGATATTAAAGATTTTCTAATTATACTCTCTCACAGATGAGGATATTGAGCTCCAAAGAAGTTCAATTTACTTTCTCAAATTTATAAACAAAATGTTTGAGAGGCAGGTTTAGTGTTCCATGTTACTGCATTGTTTTCACTGTGCTAAGTATATGCTAAGTACTTAGTGTATGGATTTATTAAATCACAAAATGACACAATATTTACTTTTCAGTATATGCACAAAATCTCAAAGAGGAATTTTACAAGTAAAATATAATGTTTAAGAATTCATCATGGCCGGCCTTTAAATTAGCAGAAATAACTACTACAAAATTCAGAAGCCAACTAAATATAATGATAAAAGACAAAGTCAAAAACCAGATGTTGCTATTTACAAGGTTTATAACACAAAGGTTTTAAGTACAGAACTACAAGTGAATAATATAAATGAGAAAAGTCTGAGGTACCTCAGAATCAGTATGCTTTCAAACGATTCCAGTCTTGAAAACGCAGTAGAGCAGTCCTACTCTGCATATGTGGAGTCATTATGAGTTGGAATTCACTTAACAGTCACTAACAACAATACAAACTATTTTAGGGATCCAAAATACAGATTAAATGAGGCTAGTCCTTCTATTTCATTAATATCATCCTCCTATATATATATAAGGCCCAAAACCACTGCCGTAGTCAATTCCGAATCTTAGCAGCTCTACAGGACAGAGTAGAACTGTCCCATAGCGTTTCCAAAGCTGTATGTCTTTATAGAAATAGACATCTTTCTTTCATGGAACAGATGGTAGATTCAAACCACTGACCTTTTGATTATAAGCCCAGTATTTAACCACTGCACCAACGGGGCTCCTTGTAACATAGCTAATACATGTATTTGTTGCAGCTGTTAAGTGCTTGTTAAGTCAGTTCTAAATCACAGTTATACCATATAAGGTTTCCAAGGCCTTAAATCTTTGTGGGAGCAAAAAGCCTCATCTTTTGCCCACAGAGCAGCTAGTGGACTTGAACCTCTTATCTTGTGGTTCGAAGTCCAGTGCTTATCCTACAGAGCCACCTCACTACCCACCTATATAGTATCTTTGAAAATTAAAAACATTTTTTGTTAATTTGAAGATACGTACTTTAAAAAGTGACATAAGCTTTCTTCCTCATGCATTTCATTTGAAAATTCTTCTAAATGAAATGGAGTCTTGGTGTGTGGTACTGTAGGATAAACACTGAACTGCAAAATCAGTTTGAACTGCAAGGTCAATGGTTCAAATTCACCGGCTACTCCTCAGAAACCCTATAGAGGGTCACTATGAGTCAAAATCGACTTGACAGCATTAAACAAGAACAACACCACCTTCCACAATATTGTACTTATCATATAACAGGAACTTAAATACTGGTAGAAGGAAAGCAGGTTTTTTATATAATAAACTGTCTTTTTGTTGTTGTTAAGTGCTAATAAATCAATTCCAACTCATAGTAACTATTTTGGGTGTCCAAGGAGTGGCTGCCAATGTTGTGGTCAGCAGCCCAGTATTTATTTTACAGCACTACAACAGGATTCCATATAAGAAATAAGTAAAAAACTCCAGCTAGTTCCTCAGGAAGAAAACTATTAAGTTGACTAACATGCCAACAGAAAAGTTAGATCATTTTTGTAAAGAATATAGAATCAAGTATTACATTCATTTTACCAAAGGTAATTTTGTTTCTTGATCAATCACATAAATCTTATCCGTTAGTAATATTTTTAACAGCTCCTGAAATCCATGAACTCATTTACATTAGTTTGCACAGAAACTGATGCCATTGAAAGTTAAAATTTTCTAATTGCCTAGATGAAGTGACCATTTCTCTTACGTGATTTTCTAGATTTTATTCAATTTGGGCAATTATAGCAATGTACCTTTAAGGCAAGTAAGAATTCTATAGAGCACTATGTTTCAAATTTTGTTACTAACACAGGTTAGCCAAAACTTGACAACTTTTTAAGATTTGATATTCAGTTGTAGGTAACTCACATCAGCAACAATAAGACAGGGTCCTAACTCCAAAACTGAATGGTTGTACAGGATATTTAAAACAAATATTTTTTGATACTGAGACCACCAAACATCATCTCCTATTATCCCTTTAATATTGTTTCCCTGACTTAAATTCTAGAAACAGACCAATGAGCAATGTATTTTAAAATTATTAAAATTGTAGTATTTTATTGTTTAAAAATATTATTCAATATCATGTTTAGTTCATTTCAAACTTTGAGATTTTCTTTTAAAAGAAAATCAACATAAAAACTTCAGCAAAAAAAAAAAAAAAATCTAACTTGGAATTATGCTAAAACCTGTAGATTACAGGTAGGTAGAAAAGCATTAAAAGATTAATATCCTATTTCACACTGATGTTACGCAGAAAGAAATTCCTGTATTGTACAAAGGGCCAATTTGCTTGTGAAGACACAGAAAGTCCTCCTAACTGGAGAATATTTAGGAATAAGAGAAGTGGGTAAGAGATACTATCTTTTTTCTCCTGATATTCAGTAAACAATACAAGCACCAAAATATTTTACCCTGTAGAGCTCAATTCAAATTATGAAATAAAGTTAGAAAAAGATCAGTCTGAAGTACTAGAAGCCCAGGTACTATGGCTTTAATATAGAGTTTAAGAACAACGAAAACAATAAACCAGTCAGCAGTTCTGAGAACTCATTAGAAGAAAGTAAATCTATAAAACTTAACATGTTGTTGTTAAGTGCTATCAACTTGGTTCTAACTCACAGTGACCCTGTATAGCATTTACAAGGAGTGGCTGTTGGGCTTGAACTGCCAACCTTGTGGTTAGCAGTCCACTGTTTACTGTACTGTGTCACACCAGGACAAAGCGAGAAGTCCATTATACTTAATTAGAAAATGATTAATAGTAGTTGCAAAAGTATAAAAATATCAGTGCTTATGTTCTTACATACCCCCTTCACAACATTAAAGTATTATTATTCTTAGGACCAAGATGTGCCTGGTCTAAGTCATGGTATTTTCAATAACCTTATTATGTATGTGAAAGTTGTATAATGAGTAAAGAATGCCAGAGAAAAATTGTTGCATTTGAGTTATGGTGTTGGAGAATAATATTAAAAGTACCATGGACTGCCAGGAGAACAAACAGATCTGTGTTGAAAGAAGTATAATCAGAATGCTTCTTAGAAGCCAGAATGTCAAGACGTGTCTCTCATACTTGGGACATATTATCAAGGCAGACCAGTCCATAGAGAAGGACATCATGCTTGGTAAAGTGAACAGTTAGTGAAAAAGAGGAAAACCCCAACAAGCTGGATTGGCACAGCTGCAGTAGCAATGTGCACAAGGATAATGACTGTGAGGCTGACGCAGGACCGGGCAGCGTTTTGTTCTGTTGTGCATAATAGATCACTATGAGTTGGAACTGACTCTATGGCACCTAACAATTATTATTATTGGCAGTAAATACTAATTTGCTTAATAAGAATGATGATTAAGATTTTTCTGAAGACTTTCTCTTACCTATTTATTGGTGTGGCACTGTAGGATCAGCACTGGACTGTGAACCACAACATCGGCAGTTCAAACCCACCAGCTATTCTTTGGAAAGTGCACACAGGGTTGCTATGAGTCAGAACTAACTCGACAGCACTTAACAGCAGCAACAAGTCTGGCTTGTCATCTAGTGCCATAATTCTCAATGGTGGGTGACAGGGAGGATGCAGAGTGTGTGCTTGCCTACACATTAGAATTGAAGATTTGTTTTAAGAATGTTAGCTGTTTGGGAAAATCCAAGATACCACATCAAAATGTGAAGCAGGGGCCTGGGAAGATATTTTTTCACTGGTTATAGATGAGTTTGAGGTTAAGAACAAGTGTGACTAACATAGACTGTCCTGCATTGTAGTTACATGGTTCCAGAGTATAAGAAAAACTCAAGGATATTCATTTATTCAACTAGGTTAGCCTACATGATGCGGCTCACAACAATGTTAGTAGAGTTACCATTTCAACAAAAATATTGGAGAAAAAGGACCAGACAAAAATAGCATACTTTGAAAATTGGTGTCTCCACTCTTTAAAATCTTAGTTATGTTAAAAAAAAAAAAAAATTAATTTCATCCCATAATTACTCAGAAGTGTGAGGTAAAAAAAAAAATTCATCTGAAAAATTTTACTTCAAACCAAGAATTAGTGTGGACTGCCCATGAGTAT